ACAATCCAGCATTAATAAAGAAATTATTTTAATTTTGTTATTCGTATATAATATATTCGATTTGTTAAAGATAAATTTAATATAATATAAAAAAAGAATATACATATATATATATAATTGTTAGAGAAAACGAAGGAATTTCAAAGAACAATCTAATCTGTCAGTGGATTGCTTACGCCAACGCTTCTAATCGCAAACACTCGTTTGAAATGTATACCTATAAACACATACAACACACACACACACGTATAGAACATAACATAACAGAACAGAACAGAACAACGAGCTTCCCAAGTCCTCGTTCTCTTTTAGTTATGACCGTAGTTGGTCGAAGCCGTTGTTAGACCTTCGAGGCAGAAAACGTCTTTCTTTCTACACCCGTATTTGGCACTCGGACTCTTGTGAGAGAGAACATGGTGAACGTATCGATGTTTCCTCCTGACACAACGAAAGATTGTAGTTACGCATTGTGAAAAGCGATAATAACGTCTTGCCGAGGTTTACATTTGTAACCATTTTTCTTTTTTTTTTTTATCGAGTTTATCTTTTAACGTTTCTTCCATGTCATATTTTTATTTTTAACTTGTTCTATAGAAATCAAAGATAACGATACACGATGATTTATATGACGTGATTCACGTTATAGATATATTATCTTCAAATAGTCTCATCTTTTTTTTTTTTCATTTTTATCTAAATTCATTATTTTACTGAATTATTTTTTATAGGACAAAGGGTTAGTATGTGTTTATAAGTTCTATAATTTTTTCTGACATATATGGTCAGTATATAAGTCTTTTGTAGTAGATCACAGTTTATATGCATATGCATCTTTCGTTTGTCACTTTTAATTAAAATTATTAATCGTTATAATTGAAAATCATAAAAATAATCTTTAAAAAATTACTAACCAATCAATATTATTTAACTTATTTATAAAATTTTATCTTGTTTCATGCTTAATTTTAATTCTCAGAAATTATAAGCGAATATTAATATTTGACTGCATCGAATAGTTTTAGTATTATATTAAATTAATATATATTATAACAAAGTTACAGCAACGAGTGGCCAAGTTTTCTAATATTTATATATAAATTAAAAATTCAAGAAATATATTTTCTCACAATACTTTCCCTTCCTTTTTCCTACATATATATATATATATATATGATATATAAATTAAAACTTCAAGAAATATATTTTCCCACAATACTTTCCTATATATATATATATATATATATTTAAATACGTATGTAAGTACTTAGATGAATTGAGAAAAAAGAATAGGTTTTGTACGTCGTTGCAACATCGCGATGATTTACAATTTGCAACGGTTAGGAAAAGGCAAAATGGCTATGGTGTAATCGCGTGTAATTAGGCAGCCGATCGGTCTCGTGTTATTAGAGACGTCGTTTAAGCGTTACTTGTACCAGTCGTTCGAAGTTAAAGGGTTCGAGAGAGAAAGAGAGGTTTGGTCGTTTCGTAGGCGGTCGTCGTTGGAAAAAAAAAGGGTGATCGGGGTAGGGTGGGGGGTCATAAAGAAAATAAAAGAGGGAAAGACAGACCACGCCCGTGGATATCGTGGATGAACATTCAATCGTTCGTAAATGTTCGTGTTTCTCTTGTGTAAGTTTTTAATGAAAATAGAGAACGAAAAAATAACACGTCTGACTTATTTTGACGATCGATTATTATTTCGTAACAGATGTGTACGTATGAGAATTCATTTGTCAATTGTTTATTGATTAACTGTATTAGTAACAACACGTGTAACATTTGGAATTTGTTAACTTTAATCAAAAATTAATGTGCGTTTAAGTATATTCAAAGTAAATCAAAAAAGAAACAAACATTAGATTAGACTGAAAATTTGAAATAAGTATTCTAAACGATATTATACTTATTACATACCTAAAAGAGTTTTACAATTAAATTGGTGATACAACCCAATGATAAATTTTTGGTTGAATACAATTTATAGATACTGCAAAAATAGAATCATTTTTGTTTCTATAAATTATAATAATATATTTTGGTTTCTATAAATTATAATAATATATTTTTGTTTCTATATTATTTTGTTTCATTTAATCGAAATACTTTAATGCAATTCTCTTAAGTAGGATCGTAACATTTTTCAAATAAATCTTATTTGCCGATATAAATAAAAATAGAAGTAATTTCGTGTTAGAGAAATTCTTCGATAGAATAATTTGAGAAATCATTTGTAACTGTACCCATAGAGTATAGTTGTATAGAATTAGTTTCGATCATTGCTATGGTATAAATTCGAAACCTTGTAAACTTACACGATCGATTCCATTACCCATACATAAGTTTGTCAGGTATTACGCTTTTACGAAAGGTAATCGAGAATCAATCCCCCTAGGTGGGAAGACTAGGAGACCCTTGACGGGGTTTCTGATCCGAGTAGAAGAAAAACTTTGAAGTTAGGCTACAAACTATTTCGTAACGAGTTTTTTTATCCATGGAAAACGATTGTTTTTCTTACATTTTATTTCTATCTTATTTCTTACCTCTCCATGGTGTTGTTTCCCATGAATAAATAAGCTTTGGGTATCGAGTTTGAGTATGGTCTTATATTATTTACACAAGATTGAAACAATAAATGACAAAGTGAAGTATACCGATGAAGATTTAATGCATACTTGCATATCGTTCAATCACACTTACGATCATTTTCTTTTTCGTTTCTTTTTTTATTTGTGTTTTAAATAAATCATTCGTTAGGATATTTCTCTTTCTCAAATCATTTATCTTTTATTTCATAATTCTTATATATTTCTATATTCTTATATTATTATTTCTTATAATTT